GGGGGGGGGGGGGGGGGAGAGGGGCAGCTTTTTAAATTCTTTCTTTTTTCCATTTTTATATTTCTTATAGACCCATATTTTTGTCACACATTACAACTTATTTATCTGTTTATATGAAAAGAGTTAATTTAATTTTAATTTCAAAAAAGAACATCAAACTAATAAAAGAAAATGTGTCTATAAGAAATATTAAAGATGAAAAAAAAGAAAGGATTTAAAAATTCATTAGCAATTACACCATATTTACATACTTATATGAAAAAATTTAATTCAAATTTTATTTAAAAGAAAAGAACATCAAAATGTGTATTTTACTTGTGCAACTAAACATAGCACTGAGAATTTTGATGTAATTCACTACTGTAATCAAGCATGATATTGAACCTCCTTTTCAATGCTATTGTATTCCTTATAGTCTCATTGGCGAAACTTTTCCAAATCTAGAAGCATCTTTTTAAAAAACTAAAGAATTTTTTTCAAAGTTGAAGTGTTTGGCCAACCTTTTAAAAAAAATGTTTTTCAATATTTGAAGAAACAGAAAAAAATAGCTTCTTCCCAAAAGCACATTTGTGTGATGACCCGATAGGCCATCTTATGCTTTAAAATCAAATTATGTGTCCTGAGGCCTTAAAAAACTCACTTTAGTCTTCTTCGATTTGCGTGCACAATCCGGATGTGTTTCCGGGAAGCTTTTATGCTAAAACTTAAGAAAAATGTGAAATTTTGCTTTGAAATCCATTAGAGCTGACTTGGGTCAACGTTTTGAGCAATCGGACCCGAATTCGTATTTTGAGGGTCCCGGTGGGTCCTATCGTGATTTGGGACTTGGGCGTATGCCTGGAATTGAATTCGGAAGTCCCTAGCCCGAAATATCGGACTTTGTTGAAATTTGAAAGTTAAAGGCTTAATGAATTTGAAATGTTTGACCAATAGTTGACTTTTTGAATATCGAGTCCGTATTTTTATTCCGGAATGCAGTATAGGTCCAATACCATATTTATGACTTGTCTGTGAAATTTGGTGAAAAAAGGAGTTGGTTTGACGTGATTCTGACATCCGGATATAAAAATAGAAGTTTCAAAGTTTTCTTGAAAATTTCAATTTGATTTGGTGCTCAATTCGTAGTTCTAGGTTTTATTTTCGCGATTTGATCACACGAGCAAGTTCGCATGATCTTTTTAGACTTGTGTGCACTTTTGGTTTAGAGCCCCGAGAGCTCGGGTGAATTTCGGATAGGCTACAGAGTGAAAATTGGACTTAGAGCATTGCTGGTTCTGCAATTTCTGTAACTGGTGTCTGATCTCGCATTTGTGAGATCAGTGTTCGCATTTGCAAACATTCCCTATGCTGACAGGCTCGCAATTACGAGCAAATTCTTCGCATTTGCGAAGTGTACCTGGGCCAGCCTTAGTTCGCATTTGCGATCAAGAGGTTGCATTTACGGGAGCCAGTGTTCGCATTTACGGAGAAATCTTCGCATTTGCGAAGTACGAGCTATGCAAGTAGGGATCGCAAATGCGATCAATGGGTCGCATTTGCGGAAGGATCAAAGTTCGCATTTGCAAACTATTCGTCGCAAATGTGATGAAAGCAGGGATGTGAAACCTTCGCATTTGCAAATCCCAGGTCGCAAATGCGACACCTGCAACTGATCAAACCTTGACGTAGACGGGATATTTGGTTTATTCTTCAAATTTTCAAACTCAAGAACCCTAGAAGCGATTTTTCAAAGAACTTTTCTTCCCCAAATCATTGCTAAGTGATTCTAAACTAGTTTCTTTCAATCTTTTACTACTTTTCCTAAGATTTCAACCTAAAATTTAGAGTTTTCATGGTGAAAATT